GCTGCTATCAAGAGTGTTCTCTTATTCATGGCTGGTTTGTTTATTGGGTTTTTCGTTGAGAAATGCGTCGCTTGTCAAAGCCGATAATCCGATTTCGGATGGCATCGTTTTTGTTTTTCACCTTGCTGGATGCGTGCGAGAATTATAAAGGCTCAAGCGATCCTTGCCTTACTTGACAACTTTCAGGAGCTGCATTTTGAAATATGGTAAGCCTGAGTAATTGTTGTATGTATATCTAATTTCATGAAGTCCAGCGGCGCAGTTTATGAAGCTAGTGTTTATGCACGTTTGTATTAAGATTTGACTGAGACACTGATCTGACCTAGTACAGGCCTAGTACGAGGTTTGATATAAGCTTAAGGCTACAGAACCTTAAAAAGCCTTTAGTCGATATTAATTCACCGTAAATAGAAAGAAAAGACTTTCCGAAGAATATTTAGTTATAATTTTGGCTATAGAGCGATTTTCTTGTCCTGAGTTCATCTTTGAAAACAGCAAACAGGCTTCGATGGTCCTGAATATTGAATGAATGCAATTTGTCTTGAAAAATTGTGAAATACTGCATTTTGTACGAGGTATTTATGATAAAAACAGCGCCTCATAGTACTCTTTCTCATCAGATGTGGTGTATTAAAAAAAAATAAAAGATTGGTTTGCACGCACCCAGATTTATTGGCAAGAATTTGTAAACTCAGGCGTTATTATTATTATTATTTTGAGTCTTTGCTTCTTTGGCGACGGCATGATCTCAGGCTAAGTCAAGAACGTATGCAAGCTGCTGGACGGACAATGTGACAGCGAACGTTAGAAGAATTCGAGTGAAAACCAGGGCCGCCCTGTTGAAAACTTACAGACGGTCGCACGATCGCCTTTTGTTTTCTGGTCAAAACTAACGCAGCGGACCTTCGCTCAGTGTTGATTGACCTAGAAGCAATAGTAGCATCCCTCCCATAGCAAGTGTCTCATTGTTGCGCGGACGTGGTCGCTAAGCTTGAATATTCACGTCGCGTATTAAACCTGGTAGTTTGCGGTCATATCGAAGCTTAAAGGTAACAGTGTTTGTTGATAAGCGAGCGATTATTGTGCAGTTGCGATGGGTTTTGTGAAGCCAGCGAGCAATAAGTAGGAGCAAACGTTACCTGCAGATTAGCCGATGGCAATTTGGAGCGGATTCGTCGATTATTCTCGAATTTATAGCGCTTCGCGTGAAGGCGCGTGGACATGGTCCGTTTGTCTTGTAGCTAGCCTTTAATTATTCTTTAGTGGATAGTACCTACGATTGCAAAACTCAACAAAATGCCACTTTAACCGGCCAGGAAGAAGAAGGAGACGTTCAGTTCAAGGTATCTTAGCTTTGTTTTGTGATATTTTGACTTTTGGACTATTTTAGTTCATGGGAGTTGCGACAACTCATCCTATTTTGTCCATGTGAATATTAATATATTCATTTGACACATACAACGCCTGGGCGGCCTGTGCGTAAACAAGCGAGGACGAATCTCTTTTTCTCTCTCTAAACTTGAGTGCGGTCCTCAAGAAATCAATTCCAGAGAAATTCGCCTACAATTGCCATTTTCAGCAAATTGGAATAAACGCAACAAAGATTGAAACAACGGGAGTTCATTTTAAATCTGACGTTTTGGCTGCCGTTGCCATCGTCGATGCTAAAGCTCTCTGACAAACGACCGGTTTCAATAGACCTGCGAAATTTCTCATTTTATTAAAGCACTGAGGTTACGACAACTTCGAGTTGAACTGATTTCACGGGTTGTCAAAGAGTCCAGCGATTCCCTTTTCCCAAGTGAGCGCCGACTCATTTCGCTTCAAGAGCCAGGGTGAGCCAACTCAACATCTTGAGGATATACCTTAGCACAGTCCGGCCAGTTTTAGAGTATGCTGTACCGGTCTGGCAGAACATCCCTGCTTATCTGTCCGAAGCTATCGAGTGAGTGCAAAAAAGGGCGCTTAACATAATCTACCCCGCGGCAGAGTCATATGCTCATGCCTTACAGTTAGGTAAACTAGATAGGTTAGATGATAGAAGAGTACCCTTGTGCGAAAATGAAGTTCCCCAGCCACCCTCTGCACCACCTAATTCCCAGCCCACTTCTGGACGCGCCTAACTGCTTGTAACTTAAGGCAGAAAACACAAAAGTATTGTCTTTTCCGGAACATGCAGGTCTGTAGGACAAAGAGAGTGGAGGACTTCTTTACTTTTAAGTTTTTTAAGTGATTCAATTGTTATTTTCATTGTTATAACTGTAATTACTATACTCTAGATAATAGTTACCTTATGATTGTAAAATGTACTCGATAATTCAGTTCTTTTTACTGCAAGAGAGTTTTAATAAACTATTCTATAACAATATTCAGGAATGCTCTCGATCTCTCTACGCTTTCATTGCCTTTCGCCCGACATGTTTTGCACGGCGTTTAGTCATGAGAAACCTCCACGAAACATCCACGCAGCGCGAGGTAACTTTATACCGATTCTAAAAACAACTCGAGACGAATTAGCTATGGAATAGGGTGTGTATGGGGGACGCCCTCTCTGTCCCCTTTATCCTCTCTTGAAATAAGGAGAAGACGAAGCCACGTAAATCGTAGTGTCGTCAGCATACATGTGAATTTCGCCATCACAATCCTCAATTATATCAAGCAGATCCTTGCAAACTGAAACAACAAAAACAGGGTCGACGAAGAGACTGCAAAATACCTTGCAAAAAAACTCTCCCAAGCCAGGACGTTTTTACACTATCCCAAAAATACACAAACCTGGTAACCCCGGCCGTCCAGTAGTATCTAACATCAGTCACCCCACAGAATGAATCTCACTGTTCATCGACTTCCATCTTCAACCGCTAGTTACCAAACTCCCCTCCTACACTACCAACAAAAAACTCAATAATATCGGCTAATCACCAGACGGTGTTCTACTGATTACCCTTGATGTATCTTCACTTTATACCAACGTAACATACCTCACAAGGATGGAATCCAAGCCTGCAGCGAATTTCTCGACAATCGTATAAATCCCTCTATTTAGACAACCAGACTCTTTGATCCCATCTGTATGATCCTCACACATAAAACTTTCATTTTCAACGGACAACACTACCGACAGGTTAATGGAACTGCGATGGGCCTCAAAATGGCTCCCTCTTACGCCTATTTCTTCATGGGGAAGTTTGAAGAACTAGCTCTACCCGGTGCAACCCACTCCCCCCTTATCTGGTGGCGTTATCAGTATTGACGACATCTTCCTTCTACTAGTGGTCACATGGCGAGGATAAATTACATGAATTCATCACGTACCTAAACAACCTACATCCCACAATCAAATTCACTAGTTCGTTTTCTCAATCTAAAATCCCTTTCCTTGATGTCAACGTTCTACTAATCAACGACAAACTACAAACCGACGTACCTTTATGTCAACCGACCTTTATGTCAAGCCTACAGACAAGCACCAATACCTCCTCAATCCATCCCATCCATCCCACACTAAAAAATCGATCCCTTTCAGCATTGCATTGCGACTAAGAAGAATTTGCTCGAAAGATGATTTCTTTAACAAACGTCTCAACGCACTCACCACACATCTCATTAACAGAGGATATAAACACTGTCTCAGCCAGCAAGAAATAAACAAAGTACGCTTTATTCCAATCAAGCAGCCAAGCCCTCAAAACATCCACAAGACAGGAATCTGACAGAGTACCATTTGTAGTAACATTCAATCCAGCTCTTCCCAACATAAACCATAATATTTCTGGCAGTCTTAACATCCTTCATTCTTCACAACGATGCAAAGAAGCACTTGCTTCTCCTCCTCTTATACCCAACCGCCGTTGCAATAATCTACTTGACATCCTAGTCAGAGCCAAAAACCGCAGACCACCCCCCCCCCCAAAACACCTGGAGCTTTTGCTGTAACAGAAGTAGGTGGAAGACGTGTCCTTTTTACAGAAGGAACCACGTCTTAAACCTTCTCCTTTACCTGGACGAACAACGACGCATCCGACACCACATCTCCTGTTCATCTTCCAATCTCATTTACATGATCCAGTACAACGAATGTAACATGCAATACCTGGGCGAAACTAAACGCCAGCTCAAGTGACAGTTTTGGAGAGCACCGACTCGGCTCCATAGAAAAAGCCAGAAATCCACATCAAAGTTTTATCATCCTACCACCGTTTCAGACCACTTCTCCCCTCCAGATGATTTCATCAAGGACATAGAACTTTTTCCATTAGAACTAATTAAATAAGATAGGGACAGTATCCGTAAGGCCCGCGAAGGATTTTTAATATCTAAACTCAAATTACTTGAACCCCATAAGATGAACAGACGAGATGAAATTTAATCTATTGACATATACAGGATATATATATTATTTTATGTAACCGTCTTTATACAAGTTTTTGTCTATTGTATTCCCTCACCAGTCAAATTTTATTTTTTATTTTTTTATTATTTTATATAATCAAATGTAATCGTCTCACTTAGCTTTTCTAGACCCTGATGAAGACTAGTTTTGTCTAGTCCAAATATTGGGCAAATAAATTTGTAAACCTTTATAATAGCTGTCCGATCAGCCTACAGTAGTCAGGATATTCGTGGTTTTTCCTAATAAGCCTGATGAAGACTGGTATTGGCCAGTCGAAATATTGCATACCTCAACCTTTTTCACGTTGCTTTATCAGTCTTTGCAGAAGTCTTTTTGACTTTAATTCTATTTTTAATTGAAAGTGTTCATTTTGGCGACATAAATCCCCGGCGGGTACTCTCTTACATTAACCTCATAGATATTGCTCTGAAATAGTGTCAAGATTAAGGAGAGCTGGACAGCATATCCCCACTACGACTTCCCAGAAATACTTCCCCCCCGCCACCCCGACGAAATTTACAAGCTAGGCTCTGCCACCAGGGTGCCCTGCTCGCCACAGGCAGCCCAGTTAATGATGCGCTTATGGGGGTCCTTGATAGCATTGTGTCAGCGGAGTTACCCATGATGGCGGCCTAAATCTTCGACCATGGCGATCTTGCCAACTCACCATAGCAGATTTCAGCCAATTCCCGTCCATAGATCCGGTCTTAGACTCAGAGAAAAGTATGTTTTGTTGTTAATTTTTATAGCTTTTCTTCTTTTATGCTTTGGAGCATTCTTCTTCGTCCCAGACTTGAGAGACCGGACTTACCTGGAGAACGCTTACAAAAAATTCGTAGGTGCCGGTGGCGATATTTTGCCCATTAGACCTCCTAAAACACCCATTGTGAAGCATGTCGAAGGTAAATATCTGATATTTTTGTCAACTTAAAGACTTTTTGACTTGATTTAAGTAAACCTAAGGCGCTATTTTGCAGCCTTTGTCGCTAATCTTTAATGTGTTTTCGTTTCCACTCAAGAAGCCACCTCGCTGCCTAACAAGAGAGAAGCCGACGATCTAGGAGCTGAAAATCAGAATGTTGAAGTTAATGTACCTCAGAAAACTCCGACAAAACTGTCCTTAAACCATAAGGAATTAATGGAAAAAATAAGAAAGGACAAAGAGAAGTTTAGAGAAGAGAAGAAATCTCAAAAGGAAGCTGAAAAGCGCGCTAAAATTGAGAAATTAGTGAACAATTCTAAGGTGGACGAGACCGGAGCAAAGGGAATCACCGGGGGAGAACCTTCAGATGAGATAGCTAAGACACGAAGAAATTTTATAAAAAAGGTACGTTGATTGTTTAATGCCATAAGTACGTGGACAAGTTTAGTGCTTTGTATATGTAGTTACGCGTTTTCAGTATTCATAATTATTAGTCGGTACTGTTTGTATTAAATTAATGTTGACAGTCGAAGAAAAACTGCAACCTGTAACCCAACTCAACGTAAGAGCGATCAGCCTTAATTTTAATCACCAATTCACTCTTAAAAGTTTAAGAGATTATTTACTTTCCAGTCATCCTTTACAGGTCGAGAAAGATGTATCGTTCCAGAATATTCAAGTTTTATTAAACAGTGTTAGTTTGTTTGTGACGTACACGCACGTTTCAGGTTGTCATTGGTTGCATTGAATTTAATCTTACATGGTTAAAATAAGCTACGATTTTACTTGAGAAGTCTGTACTTATTAAATGTGGGTTAAGTACTGATACTGCCTCAGTCACTATTCTTCTGAATATAAGTTTTGCAATAATTAATTTTGTTGCATGCTCAGCTTTGATATTTAGAATACTTTGATGTCACTGCTGAACAAATTTCATTGTTGACTCACCTGGTATATATCATTAAACCAGATGTAACCTTGGTTTAGTTAGTTTGCGGACTTTTCAAAAAGAAAAGAGCCACAGTGCTTTTAAGCTTTTGCTGATTGATTCGAATGTCTTGTGTGAGACTAACAACATCAATCACAACTTTTTTTAAACAATGGTGGATGAGGTTTTTGTGATATTCAGAATAATCAAGGCTGAGGTAGGTGTTATCAGCTGAGCCAAGTATAGTTTAAAAGGACAATTGATAATTTGGTCATGTGATGGATTATTCATGTTTGCTGTTTGCTCTAAAAAAGGTTCTAAAATTCTTTAAGTTGTAGAATTGAAAGGCTTACCTGCCTTGACTTAGTGTAAATGGTCTTAACTACATTAGCCTGTGCTGCAAAGGAAAGTCCGTCTATGAAACAGGGCTGAAATCCTTGTTCCGGGTCCCCACTTGTGCACCAGGGCCGGGTTGTTCAAAGCTGGGTTAAGATAACCCAGGGTTAGTGGAAAATTTGAATTCAAATATGAAAGCTTATAAAGTAAATTCAGTTTAATTCTTTTTGTCTACAAGTTGATGATTCAATGCTCTATGAATATCAGAGAAAACTGTCCCAGGAAATGCTTTTGAACAAAAGAAAAAGAATCCCGGGTTAAATTTAACCCTGGGTTAAGTGCTAATCGGCCATCAAACAACTGGGCCCAGGATTTGAGTAGGCGCCAAAAAGTCAGATATAAAAAAATCATTGTCGATTTTTCAATCAAGATCAAAGGAATTCAAAAAACACTTCTGGTGATTCGTTGAGTCCTTTGGAGGTCCAGAACAAGACTCATGATGCTGCTTCGCAGATGTTTCTAACCAAGGTTAAATTACATCTGTGAGGCATGCTATAAGTACATTTGCAGTAAATTAATTTGCTTAACAGTAAATCCAAAGAACCTATGGAGAACATACAACTGGCTTTTTGTTATTAAAATGTCTTACTAGATGATGGAACATGCCTGGACAGGATATGTAAATCACGCATGGGGTGCCAATGAGTTACGGCCAATAAGCAAGTCGGGGCATTCAGCATCAATATTTGGAGCTTCTTCAATGGGTGCTACAATAGTTGACGCATTGGACACTTTATACATTATGGGAATGAAAGATGAGTTTGAGCGTGCAAGGAAGTGGGTGGCAGTATCACTTCACTTTAATCATGTGAGTACAGAAGAATCTTACTGTACAAATTACTCTATTGCTTGGGCAATTCAATTTCAAGTACAGTACATGTATGTTTGTTTGTTTGTTTTCAACTTGGCCACATGGTGGACTTAGTGATGATGGTGTTTTTTAAATGTCAATCTGGAAGTCTAGGATTCCAGTTCCTACTTTTGCAAGAAAAGGTTTTTGTCCCTGCTCTTAGCAGCCATGTATTTTCCCCTTTAACCTTATTAAACCGCAAATCAATCTCTGAAAGGCTTATTAATTTTCGAACTTTCTATTCTAGAGGTGCTTGTTGTTTAATCGCGGAAGCACAATCTTCTTTTTTCATACCAAAAAGAGGCAATTATTCCAGGGACAGCGGTTAATTGAAGTGATTGCTTTATTGTGTTTACTTGCACACCAGAAGACATACCCTTAATATTTTGTCTCATCATCCCATCTTAACATACATGTATGTGTAAGATAATCACCGCAACTGAACATGGGTTTTCTTAGTGTTCCTAATTAAGAATTGGTTTCCTTGACTAAATTTTAAGGCACTTGAATCAGCAACTTATACGCGAAAACCTCATCCAATTATTAATTTTTTTCATTGCCATTTCTCTAAACAGGCTTCAGACGTGTCCGTGTTTGAAACCACAATACGATTTCTTGGTGGACTTTTGTCTGCCTATGCTTTCAGTGGAGAAGAGGTATGAGCAACAATGTTGTTTCCTTGCTTTTGACTATGTAAAAGCTTTATACAGTATAGTTTTAATAGTTAGATATACATGTATGTGTATTATTGGTTGATATCAATCCTCTAAAGTGCGCAAACTAAGTAGACGGCAGTGGAAACTGCATTACAAACTGTGGGCAATAGATCAGGAGCTCCCTTTGTACATTTTACGGAGGCTCCTACTTGGTTTGCATTTCCATTCACTTCTTGCTTTCTGGCCTGTCAGGAAAGTCATTAAGACAGAATCCATTAGGAAATTGTACCAGAATATTTAAACCATATCGTATTCTTTTTTACATTTTTCAAGGGCTATAGATGTAATTAGTTACCGTATTTATTCAAATAAGCGCCCAACCTCGAATTAGCGCCCACCTCGAATAAGCGCCCATCCTAAAGGCAGAAAAAGTTAATAAGCGCCCAGCCTCGAATAAGCGCCCACCCCACCACACCTTCCTCCCACTCTCACTCAAACTCAAATTAGCGACCACCCCTAAAATTGAATAAGTACTAATAAGAGACTGCCCCAAGGACGGAGTTTTCTTCAAAGTATTTTACAGGAACTTTACTTTGTTACATCTTGGCGTTTTGTTATTACCATTTATTGTTTTGTTGCAAAATACACATACTACACCTGCTGAAAATGTTGAAAATTTAATAAGCGCCCACCCTCGAATAAACGCCCACCTCGAATAAGCGCCCACTCTCAAGGTGCAAAAATTGAATAAGCGCCGAGGGCGGTTAATCGAATAAATACGGTATCTGTATTAAGACCAAGATTTCTTATGAGAGCCTGATAAATTTCACAAAATGACACCTTATACATGAAAGTGTCAGAATTTTACCTGTGTTTTCACAATTCTGGTGACATTTGACATTTATTTTCCCGGGCTCCCATGAGAAATAGTCTTTGATGTCATTACAGATAACTAATTATATCTATGGCCCTTGAAAAATGTTACAAAGAATGCGATACTGTTTAAATTATTCTGGTACAAGATTTTTGTCCACTGAAAATTGAAATTACTCAATTTCCTAATGGATTCCGTCTTAATTCTTGCTGTTAGTATAATTATCAACCTCTCTCCCTCTCCCCTCTCTGGTATGTGTCAAATTTTGGTTAGTATCCCCTTGACTGGTTCATTGTGATGGTCTGCCATGGATATGTTACAGGTCAAAATTGTATTCAGGTTGATGTTTTTTAACCCAGGTTGATTCTCAGTTTCCTTTGTCTCCTATCCCTAATTCATGAATAATTAGGGTTAGCTAATTGGAGACAAAGGAAACTGGGAATCAACCTTGGTTTAAAAATTTTAACCTAAATTTAATTTTGACCTGTAACAGATACAGTGTACCTCCTCCATGCCCGACAGCTGCCTGGATGGCTCTACCAATCTTTCGGGCACCAGCTCCCAGGCTCATCTATTGTTGATTTAAGCCTATGTGATAAAACACTCAGAAAAAAGCCCAGGGGTTTTATATGTGGGGTTCTATCAGTGATAACTTGCAGTAACCTGTACAAGTTTATATTTGGCTAGTTTTATATCATAATTAATATCATAATATGTTATTTACACTGAACTTGTTTTACAGGTTTTCAAAGTGAAAGCTAAAGAAGTTGGCGACAAACTCCTGGCTGCATTTAACACACCGACAGGAATACCATGGGCAATGGTTAATTTTGCCAGGTTTGTATTTTAAGTACAGGGGAACCCTATTAATATGGACACCAAAGGAACATGCCATAGTGTCCATTTATTATCCGGGTGTTCCTATTAAGCTGGCTCACTTAAAAAGTGTCCCAGACTCATGCTGTATTGACATTGAGACTTAAAAAGACATAGAAGAGGTGTAGGTCGAATGACAGCAGCAAAAAGCCAACAAAGTGAAAGTTGTGTAGTAGAAGACAAAAAATGTTTGATGAGGCTACAGTACAAGGGTCAAACACAGGGTCAAACAATGTTGAACTACAGCTGTATTTTGTTACTGTATTATTAAACTCTTTGAAATCTGTCATTATTGGAACATGGTACATTGTCTACAATAATAATTGTAGACACATAACTGTGACAAGGAAAAGAGACAGTGTGTAGATAACCAGTGTCTGTGAAGCAGAGTGGACAATTTGAGGGTTTGCACCTCGGGACACAGAAAAGTGGCTGTGTCCGTTCTCTGTATTAACCAGTGTCCATAATACTAATTAGGGGGTTAATATGAGAAAAAATACATATGTTTAGGTAATGTTTGAGCTTTTCATCAGGACAACTGAAGCTGTATGTCCATTGTAATGCCGGTGTCCATATTAATTTGGTTTCCATAGGGGGGAGTTTCACTGTAGAATAATTCATAAGACAGGGGCACCTTTCATCATCCTAAGACAACTTTACACTTTAAAAATCTATTAGCGATAAAAAATCACGACGTTTCGACCTCTCCGAGGTCATTTTCAAGTGTTGAAGAACACAAAGGATCGGCAATCGGAAACCACCTCAGAGAGCAGCATGATATGGAGCCTGAAGACATCGCACAAAGTTTTAGAATCTTAAGAAAGTGTCAGAACAAATTTGACTGCCTTATTTTTGAAATGTTTTTTATCCGAGAACTGAAACCAATGCTTAACAAACAGTGCGATTCAATTCGCGCCAAATTATTTGTTTAGAGTAGTTCTTGTTAACATTGTTTTATTTCCGTTGTTTTTTGACTTTATAAATATTTTTAGCACTTTTTACATTTTTACATATTTTATCACATTTTAGCGTTCACCACATTTTTATCTATCATAACTTGTTTTTAACTTATTTATGCTAATTTAGAGAACTTTTATACACTTGAAAATGACCTTGGAGAGGTTGAAACGTCGTGATTTTTTATCGCTAATATTTATCTCAAAATCGATTTCTAAGAAGCTACTTATTAAAATATATTAGGTTTTTCTTATTGTTTTCCCAAACATCTTAGTAGATGCTCTTTAAAGGTTAAGGGAAACAAAGATTTTCTGAAATCATTTGTATACTATTTTTCACACCCAAAATCTTAGGGGTTCTACAGTATGTATTAATTTTTAACTCGTTGGTACGCATGAGCGTACCATGAGTTATTGCAGGGACAGGGATATGCAAATGAGTCCCTCGCTCACTCGTAGTAGACGCACTTCTTAATTAATCCGGTCTGAACTCGAGAGCGCGAAGATCTATCATTTCCAAAGAAGCACGTGCTCGCCGAAGTTCGATGGCATCAAATGCGTTCATCGTGCGCTACAGCACGGTTAGAGGATAGAGGTCTTACCAAATTTAAGACACGCAGGAATCTTTCAGATTAGTACGATTCAAGAACCTTTGACTCGTCCAGGCGTTAAACTTGACGAGAAGATGAGCATTTGCTCTTCGACTCCTTCAACTTCGACGCTGGCTTGATCTCCTACTTTGTAGTAATGTAGTAGGTTATGTGTATGAATGAATGTATGGTAAATAAAGGCACTTCTTCTTCTTCTTCTTAAGTACTCCCCAAGGTCACGGGGGGAAATGGATGTGATTTTGAGCATTAGCTTTAAAATGACAGCGGAAATCGAGATAAGAAAACATAAGCTTATGTTTTGCATCCTACTTCGCGAGGAGTTGTGTCGGGTTTGTATCGCCTATGTTCTTTCATTGCCATGAAATGTGTTTACATTGTTTTTTACTGTCGGTAGTGAGGTTTCAATTAGCCTTAATTTCATCCGATTGCTTCGAGTCGTTTTTTCGTTTTTTATGGCTCGATCATTTGCCGGCGGAAGTTCCATGGAAAATGCATTAAATTTGAGACTTTTCACAAAATCATGTGATCATCCTCAATGGCGTAGTGGCTATGTGAGGTCTGGTTAACTCGGAGGCACCTGGTTCAAATTCTGCTAACGACCTTCCTTTTCCCTTCTTCCTTTTTTTTCTTTTTTGTTTTGTTTTGTTTGCTTATTTGTTTTGCTATTAATTTGTTTTGTTTTTGTTTTTGTTTTTAAATATATACCAAAATAACTGTTAATAAAGTGCAATAAACAGCAAGAAAGGTATTGTGTTTCCAGAACAAGGATAGTATATTTATAATCTGAATTTCTATCATTCCCTAAAATTTACTGTGGGAAAACCAGAGGTGATAACTAATTGATTATTTTCTAAACAACGTACCCACGAGTTGACGATAGTCTTTCTTTGATTCTTTAGTTGCTCAAGTTACAGTACAACACAGATGTTGTTGTTGTTGTCCTTGTTGTTGTTATAAATTCACATAAAACGTATTTATTACCATTTGCTGCATTTAATGAGCAAACTTTACAACAGTAGACCTGTTCTGTTTTTCTCAACTGTAATGTCATTTCAAAACAAACATCTCAAAATAAAAATTACTAGTAAACAGCAGTTCAAATTGATTTGTAACATTCAATCTTTTATCTGCAGTGGCAGTGGACATAACTGGGGCTGGGCATCTGGTGGTTGTTCCATTCTCGCTGAATTTGGCACATTGCACTTGGAGTTTGTGTATTTATCAAAGATCACAGGAGATCCAATTTACGCAAAAAAGGTGAGATTTTTGTCCTTAACCAGGATGTTCATTAGGCATCTGAGATCAGAGAATTCTCCATTTTTACTACGCAGAATTCTGCGACTAATGTTTCGTACTGTATCTTATGACTATTTCTTTATTCAGACATGGAACCTCTTTCAAAACATTCTCCCGTTAAGTTACACCTTTCTCCTGCTACTAGTGACCCTGCTTAACACACAATTATTAGGGCAGATGTTAGGCTTGTGTTAATACAAGAAAGATCCAGTCATTTATGAGATGTTTCATGGTATAACCAGGGTTGTCATTAAGAGCCGGGGGCCGGAGATTTTCCCCGGCTACTAAGAGAGTGGCCCCCGGCTACTTTTATTGGAAAATAGAACAAAAATAGAACCAAAAGAAATCCCTAGCCGTTTGATTCCCCGCCTACTTGTTGTATTTACCCGGCAACTTGAAATCTTAGTGACAACCCTGTATAACACACAAAAGCATTGCATGTACAGATCCATCAAGTATGAAGAGTTGAGTGGAGTTTTCATTCTTGACTGGTGTTTTTATTAGGTATTCAGGGTCCGTGAAGTTCTAGATCAGATTGACAAACCTAATGGATTGTACCCCAACTATTTAAACCCAAGGAGTGGAGTCTGGGGTTCACGTAAGTTGATTTTTACTATTTATTGAGAACTTGAAATGGATCTGACAGTCTAAGAAAAGTTACAATGTACACTGTAGTTCAAAATGACTTTCTCTCAGTATACACTCAAATCTGCTGCCTGTCAACAGGGACACTTTTTAATACAGGGTATTTCAAAAGTTTGGTCCGATTGTAAATTCTATTTTGCGCAAAGCATTTAATGCTTCCTTAGGCAAATGTAAACTAATTCAGGTAGTAAATTTGTCTAAATAACTGTTCAAAGCAATTTCAAACTAAAATTTGAAGAAATTATGAAATTTTTAAAATTTTTTTCCCAAATGAGCACGTACGCGAATTTTTTCCCGCCATATTTTTTTTGCCCATTTTTTGTGAGAAAATTTGCATATGTCTCGTATTAGCGGAATTATTGCATTTCAAACTAAAAAGTCGAATCTCGAGCGCGATTTACGCAAAGAAACTGACATAAAAATGAGTTACAAAGGGAAATAGGAAAATTCCTCACACCCTTTTTTAGGCCTTTTATCTGTCAATCAGATGCAATAAAAAGGAAGTGAATATTAATTTTAACAACGCGAAAGGGCTGGAGCTTCAGCAGTAAACTTGATACCTCTGAGTTCGAGAGCAAACAACTTAAGTGCCTTTTGAAATTCGATGAAATATAATCTTTTATAAGGTAATTTAGTCTTTTAGCTTTAATTTGATATATAACTTGCCTTTGTAGCAAAAATACTCGGGCGACTAGAATTTTTTTCTGTGGGCACCTCATTTTCCTTTACCGAGACCTTAAAGGGAGACACATGAGGGGATAGGGAGGGCCTGCCCAAGAGGCCCATGAAATCATGCTATTGGTTGAGAGACAGCTCCTGGGGAAATAAGTGTTCTCTTTTTGCCAAAAAACTGTCATTCAAAGAAAATAAAATTGTTTGGAAACATGTCATACAAAATTAATGGTGATGGTCTAGTACATGTAATCACTACACTTACAGGCATAAAGTTCTGTACTGGCATATTGAAGATCAGATCTTGGAGGACACTTCAATGGGATGCTGGTTTTTGTTTTTTCAAAATTAGACATGAATCTAAACTGTGTATGTATCAGTGATTGTTTTTGCAATGTGCTGACTACTGCAGTACTGTTTAATAGTGTGTATCCCAAGTTCTGGGAACCATCTACTTATGCTTTTAATGGTGTCACCCTGCAGCAATGGATTGTAAGTAATGGATTGTAATCAAGCTCTTGCTTTCTTAACAGAACATGTCTCTTTGGGTGCTCTTGGGGATAGTTTTTATGAGTACTTGATCAAATCCTGGGTAATGAGTGGAGAAACAGATAATGTGGCCAGGAGGATGTATGATAAAGCAGTGGAGGTTTGTATTAACAAGCTCTAGTTACCAAAGTAAAGAGGTCCATTATTAATGTGCAGAGTGTTCTTACTAAAAGAATGATAAATTATGCAAAATTTAAAGGCAAAGAGAATGACACTTAACTCTTGTAGGAAAGAGAAAATCTATAACATTTACTTTAGTCTAATTTCATTTAATTTTTTAAATAAAATAATTGTAAGCTTGACTTACAGCTGTAGCAGATAAAGATGTCAAGCTAGTCAGAGATATGTCAAAAGGAAAGATACAATGATGTTAGTAGACCCAACTGATAAAATAAATTAAAATCATTGTCACACTGTTGTCTTCTTAGTCTTAAGTTCTGATTATGGAACGACATACACAGAATTATGCGGTATTAATTATTGTAAGAAAATACATTTATTTTATTACAATGAATCATTACTAGCAGTTACTAGCTGTTAATAATAATTGTGGATTGTCCTTAAAGGCTATAGAAAGAATGCTGGTCAGAAAATCTTCAGCATCCAATCTTACGTACATCGCAGAGTACAAATATGGAAGGTTGGAGCACAAAATGGACCACTTGGTAAGCTGATGTTTTGATTATAAATTTGTGCCACTGTCTAGAAACTGAGAAAGAAAACTGTAGTGTTACTCCTTTTGGTTTTATCAATTAAAAAACATTAATAATAATTATTATCAAACTAATGTTAACCCTTTCAGTGTACTACCAGCAGCCAATGAAAAAATTCACATAAAGTCTACATATCTTCGATAAGTCCAGCGGAAAAGAATTATTAATAGTACAGTGCAAAAGTTGTACCAAAGAAATCTCTTTTCAACTGTAACACAGTAAGATCTTGGTCCACAGATCTAGAAGTTAGAATGATAAATAATAACACCATGACATTGTTTGATAGGAGTTACAGCAAAGAGCCTAAAAGTATGATGGCTTTTGATGTATTCCCATTCTTTCATACAAATTTAATCCAATCAGAAGCCAGCTGGAAACTGCCCTCGACCTCTGATTGGTTAATGTCTGCATGACAGAATGTGAGGTTACACTTTCGGGTTCCTTGCTGTAAAGGGTTTTCTATGGTCATCAATGTTGATTAAAGTTGTAAACAATAATATATGGCAGCGTGAAAGTTCACGTGGACCATCTACAGCAGTACACGCCAGATGCACTTGTTTCTAAGGTTGACCAAACTATCAGGGTCCATTTCCCCTACTTTTTAAGAATAGCAGTTTGAGTTCTGTTACGTCACTCAGATAATAATAATAATAATAATAAATGCTATTTAGCCAGGGTTATCTCTTCAGCATAAAATGCTGCTATCAATGAGGGCCCTGGAAAATAAATAAATAAATAAATAAATAAATAAAATAAAAAAATATCTATATAAAATTAGCCTAAATTACAGTAACTAAAAATACACTAAAAGTTAAAAATACAACAAGATTAAAAAAGTGTTTAAAAAAGCTGAAATATAGCAATTAAAATGCATTTAAAAGCTAAACTAATACAAAAATGGAAAAGTGAAAGTGCTCTGAGATGGTGCTTTTGGTTTTATTATCCTCATCTGGGAAAGACAAGTCAAGAACCATTGCAGAGGTCAAAACAAATTTTAAAGGCAACGCAGTGTCATCAGTTATTTTTAGTTCCTGGGTGTTACCATAAACTGCCGCTTTTAAGCCCTCTGCCACCTATAAATCCCCCAAGTTAAAGGCCTATCTACCTGTAAGCAAAAAATACGTCTGATTATAAGCCTGTGTACAGAACCCCCCTCCCCTCAGGAAAAATTGGAGAATGGGCTTAAAGGGCCTCTTCTCCGATTTTTGCTGAGGGGAGGGGGGTCTTTACACAGGCTACCGATTATAAGCCCCCCTGGATATGAGCTCCCTCTAAATGTATTGAAACTTGTTTTATTATGAGGTTTTGCCACTCAGTAAATAAAAAATGTATTAATTTTTTTATTAGCCTTGCTAATAGCACTGTTCCAGTTATACAGTAGGCCCCCTCAGATATTAGCCCTTCTGTTTATGAATCCTCCCATAAAACCCCTTACAAAGATACAGTATAAGCCCAAGGCTTATTATATAAGTGGCAGTTTACAGTATGTTAACACGTGTGCTTATAAATGCTTATTGTATACATGTATATGCTTTTACTTTCAGGCCTGTTTCACTGCTGGGATGTTTGCTCTTGGATCAAAAGGTTCTAAAAATGAGAAGCATTTTGTCAACCTTGGAGCAGAGATTGCCAACACCTGCCACGAGTCTTACCGAAGGACAAGTAATCAAATTAATATTGAGAAACAAACAATAGTGTGTCATTCAGATAAGAGGCAACTACATAAAACTCTTACAGATTGTTTAGTGCAATCATGACTTGTAGAGCCTGAAAACATTACAGCCACATTATAAAGTTATACCTCAAACCCCTAGATGTAGGGGTTGAAAGGAGTATTAAAATAAGTATAAGGGCTGGCAAGAGTTGTTGCACCAATGATCAGTTTGCATTTTTTTTTCAGTTTGCTTCTTAGTTTCTCTGTAAGGATATTATTATTTCACTGTTATTCAAAGATCACCCCAAGTTATTCTTTGTTATTTTCCTATTATTACAGCAACTGGAATTGGCCCAGAGGCATTTAGATTTGAAGGACCTCATGAAGCAGTAGGCCTGCGTAGTAATGAAAGGTACTACATTCTTCGACCTGAAGTTATTGAGGCATATTTCTACATGTGGCGCTATACGCATGAGCCCAAATATCGGGAATGGGCCTGGGAAGCAGCACAGGTTAGTAGAATGAAGGATGTTGCAGAAGATAGGAAGATCAAGATTATAAAAAATAATATAAAAAAGAAAATAAAAAAAAACGCTTTGCTAGTGCTTGCTTCTGGCTAGTTTATGGGCTTTCTACTCGAAGAATTTTACCATACAGAATAATAATACAAAAGACAATAAGAAACCCAACTAGAAAGAAGCATTTAGCATTGGCTATTTAGGGACAGTCTATTAGAAAACTTAGTTGGGGGGGAGGGGTGGGTGGGGGCGTGACGTACAAAACAATTTGGGCAAGGGACAATTAAAGGAAAAAAATTCATGCACACTACGTTATCTTTAAAAGTATTTATGCCCCAGCCTAAAAAAAGTTCATACAAGGGAAAATAATGTTAACGAAAAATTCATTAGACTTGAAAATTCCCCGCCCCTCTTCTATAACTTCCCCTTCCGAGCAGTGGGTGAGTGGTTTAGTCTAAGTTATTACCAATAGCACAGGCTAGTCGTGGCCATTGATGGTCATAATTAGCTAGGCAGTAGGCAATAAACAACATTAAAATTACTCAAATAAAACTGAACTTTCAAGAAATATTGTACTACTTTAGGAAAGGACCAAGCAGGGTTTTTGATGTTTGATGACTTTTTTTTTCAGAACATTGAAAAGTTTTGCCGGGTGGAGGCAGGATACTGTGGAATACGTGATGTTTCTCAGGTTCCTGTGTCACATGATGATGTCCAACAAAGTTTCTTCCTAGCAGAAACTTTAAAATACTTGTATTTGATATTCTCTGATGACACTCTTATTCCTTTAGATCACTGGGTCTTCAACACTGAAGCTCACCCATTACCAGTAATTGGCAAAATGCAGCCAGTTCAGTCAAGATAGTTAGGACATCTTTTAAAATTAAGTTCAAGTCAGTTTGGACATTTCCAAGTGCACGACTAGAACAATAATAATTATAATATTAGGTGTAGTAGACTTATACCCAGGGGTTGATTCCTTTGGCATTTTGAAAATCCAAAGATGTTACAGATGAAACTGACAAGGGCAATTCCTTTTCTCTGTTTTTGTATCCATGGAATTTTTTTGGAGTTAATTGTCACTCTGGGAAGATCGGCTACATGTACAAATAACACTGCTTCCCTGCCCACAGGGGCTGGGCTGTCACTAAGCTTTCATGATGCTGGGTTTATGCAATTATTAGGTGAGGAAATGAACAGCTAGGAAGTTCTATTGGTTCTATTTTCGTTTTGGTGTCATATTAAAGTATCCAGGGGTCATGTTCATCATACATGTAGCAGGGGCAAATCCCCAATCCGCGGCCATAAGTGACAGCCATGCTGTATGCAGGGTCCGAAATTAGATTGTTAATACGGGCGCCAACTGGCGATCAAGTATAAATTTTTGGTCGCCAGAGGGCAAATTGTGGTCACCAAAAAATTCCCCCTCCCTTTTTTTCCAATAATAGTTTAAACGCGAATAAAAAATGCATGGTATGGACGTTTTTATGCTCGAAAATTGCACTTCTTCCACTCCCGATATCAGAAAGCAACCGTACGTGTACGAGAGAAGTCTTTTTTTTCCCGCAAATTACTTTTTGGAGATATAAAGCTGTCTGACTTAGAACGTAGGAACAGAAAGCTGTCTGCCCATGACTGCACTGATCACTCGTACCTGTACAGAAAGTACATAACGTACTTACCGAACAACATGGCGGCTTGGAAACGTTCAACTCGTATTGATCGTAGCTGTTGTGGAGGTATTATTACAGGAAGATTCGTTTCACTTTTAATTAAAAAATATCAGCAGGACAAAAAGTAAGACACCTGTTGGCAAATAGCTGCGAGGTTTCAATTCTTGATCAATTTCTCCGAACGTTAAAGTCCACAATAACAACCAGCTTTACAAGTTGCTAGCTGGTGACCAGCTATGAAATTCTGGTTGCTAGGACTAAATTTTTAGTCGCATTGGTGACCAGGAAGGCACAATTTCGGACCCTGGTATGGGCATTATTGTACCCAAAGTTAATAAATATGGCTAGTGTAACCACAGGTATTTCAGTCTTATTAATATTGTACTTAAATAGAGGATATTACATGGCCGCTCGGAGATACGAAATTTCTCTTCGAGTGTTGAAAAATATTTCACTTGTTCGCTGCGCTCACTCGTGAAATATTTTTCAACACTCGAAGAGAAATTTGGTATCTGCAAGTGGCCATGTAAAGCTCACCTGGTATTTCACTGGTGTTTATATAATAATATAAGCTTAAAGCTAAAAACATAACAGCCTTTTTAGACAATAATTATGTAATAATAATTATTACCTATTGTCTAAAGGCTGTTATTATTATATTGTCTAAAAAGGCTCTGTGGTTCCTGTTTTTTATACCTTATGGCTACTACTATACAACCAAAACACTACCACAATATTTTGTGATATTCAATCAAGAAACTTACTTCCAAATGTCAAAATTAACTAAGGTACTTTTAACATTAATTAGATGCACACATGAATTAATTACTGTAAAATACTTTCATATAAAATTATGATAAGTTTGATCTTAAGTGTCAAGCTCTGTAGTATTGTTACAATTCTAGCCTAAATAAATACTATAATTTGTTTATATCTGCCAATTTTCAATGTAGATTTTTTGTGATTGCACATAGTAGTTGTAAGAAAAACAAACAACCCAAATTAATTTTCATAGAAAGGATAAAATTAATAATTGTGTATCAAATCTAATTTCTCAGAGTTGATTATTTTAAAAAAAATTGTGTACTCAGTGGGCCTTCCCTTGGCAGGTCTTCTAAAAAGTTTCAATAACACGTTTTCTGGCAAGACATTGCAAAGTGTCTCATTGTAATGGATTAATTGAAGTTTTCAGATTGAGAAATTTTAGACCAAAGATTAACAGCTTCCAAGTTGGTAAATGCTGGAATGATAATGGTGGATGATGTATGTCTGGCTTTTCGATAATTGAAGATACTCTATATCCACATTTACTCTTCCTTTTCAAAGTGCTTTTCCTTGTTTTGTCTTCATGAATGCTACTTTGAAATTCCCAAAAATGCTATTGAAGATTCTGATTCACATTGTTCAACATGACAAAGCTTTCTTTCTACTACCATTATTATACTGTTCAGGGTGTTCATTGGGCATTGGAGATTGGAGAATTCTCTGTTTACTTAGCAGAATTCTCCGGCTAATGTTCTTTAGTCTATGACTAGTTTTAATTCAGACACAGAGCCCCTTTCAAAATATTCTCCGATAACCTGAAACCCTTCTCTCATTACTAGAATTCTTAATGAAAACCCTGACTGCTTCTTACATCAACACACAAATACATAGTTTCATTCCAGGTTGATCCATAATTATTATTTATTTAAGGATTATTTTGCACAGTTGATAGTTTGCTCATTTCGGAAATTTGAGCAAATGTCAACTTGAATCTGATTTTTGTTATGTTTGCCTAATATTTCTGTTTATAATTATGTAACCTGACTAATGGAGCTCTTTAGCATGTTTGTTGGTTATCCCATTTCACCCCTCATGATGTTTCTTTAGAGAAATGTTTTCTTCCAATTTCTTCCTGTCCACATACACAAGTTTGCATAATGTATGTAAAGACAATGTACAAAATGCCCTTAGTTATGAACATGGGAAAAAACAAACAAGCTAAACAAAGGGGCTGACCATTTAACTTTTGAGGTGAGATGGGTGATCTAAGTAGTTGACTTGGATAAAATTCTTTCCCAAACTAATTCACCCCAAAAAAGTTAATTGGTTGGTCTTGAAGAGTTCTATTTCTATGTGTGAGGTGTGAAACTGAACAAATCTCTTTTATATAAGTTAATTTTAAAGTAAATTTTAATGTATTGTAATTAGGTCAGGATGCACCTCACCGTGTAAAATGGAATGTCTTGTAACAGAACACATCAATGTAAATCTATGATTACATGTCTTTTTTATACAAATAATGGATTTTTATCCGGGGGTTTATTAATAACATACTTTTCTAGCAGGGCTAGATGCGTTTTTCCAGCCTTATGACATGACGCGCATGTCCCACATACGAGACTTAATTTCACATGATTTTCCAGTGAAATTGTGCGTGGGGTTCTACAGGTCATATGATAAATCAGGTTAAATACTCTTAAAAATCAAGTCTGTGAGCAGACTTTCCTCTCCTTCCGTCTTTCTTGAAGTGAGAAAATCGAGGCAAAGCTAGTGTTAGGTAAGTAATAAAACTACAAGCCGTAACAATTATTGTTTTGCATTATAAAAATAATTTATTATGAATCAAGTTGTGTGCATACTAATCTGAGGAAAAAACGAACCACTGCTTACAGTCTATAAAGTCTATAACTTGTGATGGTGAAGGCCACTGGTATAATCCTACAAAATTGTTTGCTCAAGTCTTGTTTACTATTAGGTAAAAGGTAAAGGCACACACGAGCCAAAGGCCCAAACAGCCATAGTTCATCCCAGTTTCCTTTAGCATAAAGCATGCTTAGGAACATTGCTACTCCCCCATGGATGGGATACTAGTCCATCGCAGGGTTAACCCCAGCAGTATGTCACCAGTACCCATTTATATGCCTGGGTGGAGAGAGACAAAGTGGAGTAAAGTTACTTGTCTAAGGAAACAATCCGCAGGCGAGGCTTGAACCCAAGACCCCCAGATCCAGAGTTCGAGGGGTTAACTGCTTGGCCACACACGCCTCCAGTGTTTACTAACAACCACATGACCATTTCTTGAGGTTTTCACTCAGCTGGAGGCTGTGTTGTCTGAGAAATAATAAGGACTCCTTGGACAGAGTTGTGCATTTTCACCTACCCAATATATAGACAAGGGCCAAAGCTAATCATCTACTAACTAAATCATAAACTACGACGAGGACACAAAGCCCCTGGGAAAGCACTATTTTACAGCTACTTAGCTGGTCTTAAGGACAAATAAGTAATTCAAGTTTTAACAAGGCCTGAGCTAGCCCTGACATTCTTTATGAGATGATTTTGCCATATAAGCTTACTTTATGAGACTTCGCTTGATGGTGTAATGTTTTCTTAGGCTTCTAGCTACATGTACATGTAGATTACTGGAAGTCTCTTAATTTCGGTCAGCTGAGAACAATAGTTAACGTGGTGAGACTGGATTGCTCATGTGTAAATTGGGCACCTGTTTAGTAATCCCAAGGAAGGGTGAGCAGCAAATCAGGACTTCCCCATGATCAGCCACTGGAATTTGTTGAAGGTTTTAACAGTTCCATAGTCTCTTCACGGTTATTTGTTTGGTATTTAATTCATCATAATTGTTATTCCCACTGTGCAGAAGTGACAATCATCCTTCACCAGATTGAGTATAATGTTCATCAAATTCTTTTCTTGGCATTAAAATCCTTGAAAATCTTGTGCCACTCAGATGCCGTTTGTTTTTCTTTGTTTGATTTTTGTCAATTGCCAAAACCCTGAACCGGGACAGTTCAACTTCATCACTTTCTTTAGACAAGGCAAGATCTATTTCATCACCTTCTTTAACCTAAAACAATAAAATAAACTGTGTAAGTTTCCTCAGTTTAAGGATATAGTTGAACCTCTGCACAATGGCCTCCATGGGAAGGAAGAAAACGGCCATTGTAGAGAGGTTTAAACCCGGGGGGGGCACTTGGGTATTTTTTGGGTGGGTATGTGCCATCCGGGACTCCAAATTGGCACCCCGTTCTAGAAAAAATTTCCCCTAAAATTGATACCCCGTTCTAGAAATAGGCCAATTTTTTATACCCCGTTCTCGAATTAGCCCTAAAACTAACACCCCGTTCTAGAAATGGGCCAATTTTTTATACTCCGTTCTAGGGAGGAACAAGAGTACAACCGTTTGCTTCCTAACGCACTGAACCGTATTTTAAAAGCAATCTGTCCTTGAATGCTTTCAAATAGCTACTTACAAAAGTGGAGAGCTTTCGTGTGTTCGAAATATTATACCCCATTCTAGAAACCGCGTCTGAAATGGATACCCCGTTCTAAACCAGGAGCTTCAAAATCACGACCCCTTTGGGCGGCACATACCCGTATAGGTAATGTATGGGAGTACCCCCGGGGTTTAAACAAGAGTCAGTGGATGGTATCCACCAAATAAAGTGGCTGTTGTAGAGAGGTGGCCATTGTGGAAAGGTGGCCTTCAGTGAAGGTTCAACTGTACCAGCTTCTTCTAATAAACTTTGATTGTTTGATTAATTATATAGCTTTTACTTCTGAAAGGCAACCACTTGAACGAATGCAAGGCACTACTTTAACAGTGCTAAAGGTAAAAAATGATCATGACAGCTTACCTCCAAAAATGCTTTTTTACAGTTCTCCTTGTTTACAAATAATTTTCTGGCAGCAATATAGTCACTTGCTTTCCTGCAAAACCAGTTACTTAGAAAGTTAACATCACAAAGTATCAAATAAACAATCAAAGCAAATGAAAAAGTTTATGGGAAGGGAGGGGGGGGGGGGGTTACATGATAGAAGAGGCTAGAGATTAAATAGAGCTAGAAAACCAGAGGTAGCCCAAGCTCAAAATATGAAACCACTGGTACTGTTGTACGTGTAACGTTTAAATTGTAATGAATTATATGATAAAATATATGATTGCAGTTTCTGTAACCTACACATGTGAAAGGATTTAAATAAAATCAGCTAACCTTACTTAAGTTGTGTGTTTCTTCTTCACTAATGTGGTTTCTGAGCCAATTTATTGCCATGAAACCCATTAAGAGTTTTCCACAAATGCGAACAAGTAAAAGTCATTTGACAATTTTCTGTATAGCCTGTTTCAGGCGTTCATTCTCTTTGCGCTGTCCTTATGATCGGAACGCCTGGAACAGGCTAGTCACTGTATAGCCAGCACCCTTACCTTTTTTGTGGATTTGCTCCTAAAGGGTGAGAGGATGAGGAATGTGAAGATTTGGGTGGAGGGTGGGAGGGACAGGGGTGTGTGTGATACTCTCATATTAAAAGCATTCCAACTCTTCAAGATACAAGTAAAACATCGGGAGTTTTGATTAAGAACACGGTATCACCAAACAAGAAAAGGTATCATGAATACAGTAACAGGAAATGTATCTGGTTTGAAAAGTGACGTCAGTGCAAGGGCAGCAGGGTAACATGTCTTCAGTAGTACTGCCCATTTTTAAATTACTTAATTATATTTTGTAAAAATCTTCATGGGTCCGAGGACGCAAATAGAGCCTCCCCAAATGGCTGGATATTTAGCCCAAAGTCTCGTGAATCCAGATCATTGTAACACAAACCTTCTACCCATTCCGAGGCCACTCGCAATCACTCTATCCACTCGTAAACATGACACAACCAATTCGAGGTTTCTTCCTTGAGGAAGAGAATTTTCTTCAATGTCTCGGGCGTTTTTGTGCGATTGATCTTCGTCGTTACTTTCTGCAGAACAGAAGTGGCGTCTAGGAAGGCTTGCTATGGTGTACGTTAACGAGTTAACAGAGTTAACACGTCTGAAACCTCGCATGAAGGTCATGCAAGCCATGTTGTTTCGCCGTTTTGGTTCCAGTCTTTCTCGCCTTGCACCTGCGTGGAAGGCGCGAGCTATCGTGCGAGGACACGCACACCAACTGTCCTAGAGAATGAGGACAAATGAAGAGCCGCGGAGAAAAACGGTAAAAAGCCTATGACAGGTCAAGATTCCGAACAGGCTACTGGTGCTGCTTCGGCTAGGTCGACCTGCGCGCGGGATGTTCCTCAAAATAGGGTAGATTGGCCTCTTTTAATTGTTTTGGGTATTGCATGGTCGGGGGAAGCTGACGTTTTACTGGGTCTCCATTTGAGAGAATCAGGTAGTTTCGGATTGTGTGTGTTTCAGATTTTGGCTCCCTATGTTTTTTTTTTTAAGTTAGAACGAAAAAAAGAACAAACAAGTTTGATGAAAATCTACGGGATGATCTCGCAGCTCCTACATATAAAAGGCCTCACTCGTGAATTTTGCTGACCTTTATTTTAAACAAGTTTTGTAGATACCCATACAATCACCACTAGTTAAATAAACTAGCTAGAGATGACGGCTAAGGTATCTGCCAATATATTTTTTCCCCTAACACAAAGCAAACATTTTGTAAACGACTGTAGTGACATTTTCGCTCAAAATTAGCCGCTTAGTGACTTCGTTCGGTGCAACCAAATTTCCATGCATTTGATCGATGATCCATTAGCCGCGGGCTGGATTGTTAATCCCCAGCGCGGCAACGAAAAAGGTAGTGATCAAAGATAAGTTCTGTTCCCTGTTTCTTATCTCCTATAAGGAAGATCGCCAGATTAGAGAACTTTCTCATCATAGACGAGTTAACACTGGTTAATTGTCATTCGGAATTTGTAGCGTATAAATTGCTGTTCTTTTACAACAAGCGTACAAAGTAGAATGCAGTAACCCTTTCAGGAACGCCAGTAAGCTTATAATGATGTATGGCAGGAGCCTATCCAGAGGCACCCAAAGAGAATATAGTTCAAAACTACTTAAACATAGCATTGTTAAACGTATTTTAGTATTTAAACGGTAGATATAGGCATATTTTTATCCCCTAAAAATTTTTCATCTGTTCGGGATTCCTTGCTGAAAGTCTAGTGATCCGAAAATTATAGGGATCAAAACTTACCTTTTCGAAAATTTCAGCCAGAAAAAAGGCTTCCGAAAATTCTAGGTGATCTTTTTAAGGTAAAAATCCTTTAAGAATGGGCAATTATACCATTTTTTAGATGTTCGAAAATTCTAGGAGAGGCAGGCAAGCAAGAAATGTTACAACAAATGCTCCGAAAATTCTAGATCTCAAATCGTCTTCCGACCAGATATTTTCCGAAAATTGACGTTGGGTGCCACTGCCTATCGCGAAGATCTATCACGAAAGGCTACTATGTATGGCGTGTTTTTCCTGTAAGTTGTCAGGGTGTACTTGAGCAACTGCGAGGTACCGTGAGTCTTCTTGCATAGTATTATTCTACTGCGCTTTTCTATTTTCTATTTACGCTTTTTTATTCTCACAGCCGTTGTAACCGGCAGAAAAGTAGCGGTTTTTAGAGACAACCGTGGGATAAAAACAAACTCTGTGTGACTATAAAATAATTAACAATTATTCTTTGAAATCGAGGTGAATAGTGGCAAAATATTTACCGAGCCGCGAAAGCGGCGAGGTAAATATTCCCAAAGCCACTATTCACCGAGATTGAGAAGAATAATTGTTTTAGTATATACACACGAAGTGATCTCAACAAAATCAGAAAGGAAACCATTCAAAAGTAGGATTTGATTGACAGATCAAATCACGCGTAAGTTTAAAAATAGATCTTTGCAGAATTTTCAAACATGGCAATTCACAAGTTTACTCATTTCGCAAACAACAGCGTAATGGCTTCAATGGAATCGCTAAAAGTTTGAACTGTTTCCTTACCTGAGAAAAAAAGTAGAGCTGTGTTGTTTTCTGTTGACTGGCCAAGTTTATAGCCAAAAGGGCATGTTGTGTCGTTCTTCGCATGAAGTGCTGACAAAAATGGCGGCTCGGTTGCTCGAGGTAAGAGGTCGTCTTCCTGTATCATTCTTTTTCCTGTTTACTTGAAATGTAGAATTTCTGCAAACATTTCCTTTTAAATTTGTTTGTCATAAATAAACTTCGATTTTTGAGCCAAAATTTTCTTCTTAGAAAACGCTGAGTTCACGAAACGGCTTCTTCTACGCGAATACACGGGAGTTGTAAACAATCCATCGAGCACAAAACTCCTGCTACAGTAAATTGAAAAAACGCCGTATTGAATCCTTCCAAGTCTTTTCTTGCCTTAAAAAAAGTCAGCCCTAGGATTTTGTCGACTTTTAAAAGATCGTTCTCTAAAAAAACGGGAAAAACACCGAGCTCACACATTATCCACTCGCTAGGAGGTGAATATTGTTGAATAGTCCGAGATAGCGAACCAATCAGATTGCTTAAATCACCAAGATCACTGAGTGTGTATATACTAACACAGTTTGAATGTTTTGGTGTCAACGAAACTAGCTCGGCTGCGATCGGCAACATAATTTAAACTAAAACGCTGGTTAACAAACCCAAAGAGGAACTTAAACGGACTCAGTAATTAACCAAGGTCAGCTCTAACACTACACGACCGCCTGTGAAAAACTCTCATCTGACGAGGACAAGCGAAGCCGAATATTCCAAAAAGGGAATCAAGTAGATTCGCGATCTGAGCATAAATTCAAGCACTAGTGAAAACCTAAGATCAAAGCAGGAAAACAGCCATGTAGACAACTCTAGACTAACCTTGACCCACTTAATGAAACCAGCCCCAAAATTAAAGTGCATAATTTTGACACCCAAATTTTTCCCTTGTTTTTCGAAATGAGATAAGACAGATCTTTTAAAAATAACCTTCACAACGAAGTTGTTTATGGAATGCACCTGTCCCAAGCAGTTTAATCAGTAATTAAATGCCTTATATCCCTTAAAGTCGATGGTAATCTTTTGCATTGAGCGCGGCAAAGAGTTCAAATTAAATAACCGCAAAGGCTTAGCAAATAGCACAAAAGAAGCACCTCAAATGATTCCAGTGGACTCTTTCTAAAACGATAACTATGAAAATACAACATATTTTAAATCGACTGGGCGGCAAATTCTATATATAGTATTAAACAATTTTGCGTCGACTCTTAGTTGTAACAAAAGCTGAGAACCTTATAACAAAATGCAAAGAAAGAAATTTTAGACGGGTTCAGTTTAATAATATTCTCACGCAAAAAGAAAAAAAATTGTTTTTCTCTTAATGACAGGTGCTGAATATTCAGAGGATTTCCCATCCCTTAACTTTATGTTTCCTTTAAGAAGACCACTACGCGAAAGGTTTGAAATTAAATGGTTATTAATTAGTTTGTTTTATTGGGAGAAAGACCTGCCGCTCTTCGTTTAACTTCTGACTAACCAGATAGTTCCATGACTATCTATTGTGTATAAGTTTATACGAAACAGGTGTTTACGATCAGAATCAGAAAATAGTTTTAAATTTCGAAGAAGCAAGAAGTTAGTTCTATTGATCAAACCAGCACCAAACAGCTTATTTTAAAAGTACTTAATATGGAGTTATGGTTTTGGATTCTTGGTTGGATTCTGTCTATCCTGACGATAGCTGGAAATGGTTTCATTATTTTCCTTGTGTGCAAAAAAAGGCAGCTCCGCACCAAAACTAACGCCTTCATCGTCTCACTATCAGTGGCAGATTTCTGTGTTGGAGTGAGCGTCGTTCCTTCCTTCTTCATTTGCGACATTACAGGAGGCTGCGATTGGTCTACAGGACACCATCCTTTATGGACACTTGGTATAAGATGGTTGTTTGGTTACGCATCTGTGATGAATTTGTGCAGTTTAGTACTCGAACGCTACTTCGCCATACTGAAACCTTTAAAATATCTAACTGCTATGACCAGATGTCGAGTTGTTAAAATGATCATATTTTCGTGGACAATCCCTATAATTTTGTCGTAGGTCTGCTATTAATTTTGTCAAGTATTTCAGCTATGGTGTTTGTAAATATTTTTACTATGTTGGTGGAGTTTTTCTCATGCTCTATATTAACTTTCTGCACCTCTTCGATAATACGTGTAGTGTACAAGCAAGATAGAGCAGCACCTAGCTTAGGAAAAGTGAGGCGTTTTAACCAACATCGTGAGAAGTCTGCGATTGTAATGATGACAATTGTTGTAGGTTTGTTTCTTATTTGTTACGGCGTATATTTTCGCTGTAGTTTTGCAGCACTTTTTCTTAACATAACCTATAATGATTTCAGTTATAAAATACCTCTGTTGATTTTAAACTCTGCCATCAACCCTTGGGCGTATGCTCTCTTCAAGAGGGACATAAAGGCGATGATCAAAAGACTGTTCTGTAGGGCAACTTTCAGGAGCAATAACAGTGTAATGCCTTTTATTTTAGCCAATCGTTCTGCCGTAGGAAGTAGGACTTTGTAAAATAAGTCCGCTTCGCTCATATGAAGCCAATGCGAGTTAAAATGACATTATTAGTACTTTTGAATAAATGAGAATTGTTCTTAGCAAAGGTGAATGTAATTTAAGGGCAAGAAGGCAAAACTATAATCCATTTAATGATACAGAGATGAGATGGGAAATTTAAGAAGGGAAGACCTTTATTGCAGCTGGCTGTACACACGGATAGCTGGACCTTGTGGTTTTTCGAATCAAAATCGAGTTTGGGCACTGTATCTTACACTTAGTCTACTATTATCAGGACAAGGGTGAGGACTTAAAGATCGAAGTTATAATTTCGTCCTATATTACAATCAATACATTAGCGAAGTGATCGAAATATCTAGTGGGAGAGAATTTTTATTATTGTATTAATATTTATAAATGTTGCAAAACATTGTTTGCTTTGCATGAACTTCAGCTGTCTCATTCCCGTGGTTCCTAGGTCTCCTAGGTCCTTACGGCCAAGTGATCTAGCCTTAGAAAGTGCGACGCCAGGGCCCAGTTGTTCGAAGGCCGATTAGCGATCACCCTACCCTGGGTTCCAGAGGCTTTTCATGCGCAGTTCCGGTTTCGGTTAAGTCTTAAGGTGTCGTGTCGGCCTGCGGCCGACGAATCTCCTCGTAGCACCTGAGAAAAAAACCCCTGATACCCAGGGTACGGTAACCCTGGGTTAAATTCTAATCCGGGTTTCTTTCTCTCTCTCTCTCTTTTTCTTTTTCATCTAATTATCAAACGGTGGACAAAACGAATTACACTGAATTTTCTTTTCATGCTTTCACATCTGAATTCAAATATTTCACTAACCCTGGGTTACCTTAACCAAGAGCCATAATGCCTCTTGCCTTAACTTACTAGCTTTGAACAACCCGGCCCAGAACAACTGTTACTGACACCGGGACAACATTGCTGGTAAAGCTCAAAATATATTGAGTCGCATATAAAAAATGGAACGTACTTAGGGTACATTTGGAGAGACAAATTAACGGTTATAACACCGCAGATGCTATTGCTGGTTTTCACTGTCACGCCATCGAAAAAACTGTTCAATAGATGATGTCCAGAATCTTGGAAATGATAGACGGAACATAAGCAAAGACCCTCGCCAAGATTCAGGTCGGTGTAATTTTTCGCATATGCGCGATGTTCGGAGAAATATTACCTCGATTTTTTAAGCTTTGTATGGAGACACCATGTTGGTGCCCATCTGGATGGGCACCAACAGAAAACATCTGTTATCGAATTTTACTACAAAAGCGTAAATTCATCTCTTGAAAAACTAAAAACCATTAAAGTAATACTTTTCCTAATACAAGGCTGTTAAGATGGCAAAGTCCCAAAAATATCTCTCACTTTCTTAACTTACTGGACAGACGTAAATGACGCGTCACACAAAAAGTTAGAAATTAATTCAAGCGTACTCTATCACAAAAGGAAGCACCCTTCCGAAATGACAATTTGTAAAAAAAAAAATAGCTCCTAGCTGCTCTAATACTTCACAAAAGTAAAAACCTCAGGAGGATGGATAATTTCCGCTTTATTTTTTCCATATCTTGTGACGTCATGAGAAAACCCAGAATAAACTATCCCACTTGCTCCGCAATGGCAAAGTGTCATCATCACGTAGACTGCAAGCAATGTAATTTCTTTTCTCCTACTCCCGTTTAATTCACTACATTTCAGTTACGAGATCCCTAAATCAAAAGCGTTCACCACCTTAATTCGTTCTAATCAGCTCTTGGAAAATCGAACAAAACAGCATTTTCGAATTCGCAGTCCAAGCGCCCCCCACATTCCCTGGCTCATCATGCATTAAATTTAGTTTTTTTTGGAGCTTATTTTAACGGCCCGGAAAGAGAACGCAAAGACAGTGTTGTTCATTAACTCTGCTTTTTTTAGTTTAATTCAAAGTCTTTCCATGTAAATCACAAGTTGCTAAAAATGTTTAGTTTTCAGCAACCACCAAAACGAAAGAGATCTGAACAATGTATTAGTTGCAACTATCGAGTCCGATCTAAGCTTTCTGTATTTACAAGTGACGTTTATGAGACTGGCCGTTTCATCGGAACGCTACGATTGCCAGGCTAATTGAACATTCCGGACACTAAGAATTAATTTTTTGACTATCTCATGTACTATAAACTAAATTCCATCAAAAGTTACTCCTGTTAATGAGTAACAGCGATCTTGCAAGTAAAGGCAATGTTACACGGGATGATCCGCGCGACAATTTTCAGCGCAACACGTCGCTGAAACATTGTTGCTATATTACTTCGAACTGTCACAATATTGTTCCAACATTGTTGCCATGTTAAAAATTCGTTGTTGCATATCGACTCTACTACTAGGTGCACTACAAAGTGCTGTAAACGCTAAATTACGAGCGTGAAACTGTCATGTAGTTATTAGGCTTAATTTACAAACTAATTACATGATCTAGCCTGTTGAGAAACATAACTAGGAAAAGTTGCGAAATAACTTCTAAACGGCTACGTGGTACTGACTTCGACCAGTTGAAGAGAAGCTGACTTAGCCATAGTATCCTGTGTTTGTAATTTAATTCACAGGGACTCCTCCAAAAGACTGATGCTACCCATAATTCATTTCAATATTATTTATATTACATTATACAATATCTATGTTTGTATGTTAATACTACACTACTATTCACACTAGTTCTAAGCCGGGCTACTAATCTAAAATTTTGTTGAGTCATCCGATGCAATGTTTTGCTCATGTAACGTAAGGGGAGTATCTTGTTCAGCATATCTCTTCGAATTTGAATTTCCGCCCTCTTCTTGTCCATGTTCGCTAGCTTGCGTTGTAAGGAAACGCTCTCTTCCACTTTCTTCAGCGTTGGATTTCTGCGGAACCTTTGTAGGATCGTTACTCTCAACTTCAATGTCCTCCTTTTCCAGGTCATGTACTTCATTGTGGACATTACTCTCATTATTTTCTTGGTGTGCCTGCTTAACTACAACGGTTGTGTCCAAAGGCCGAGGTTGGTCGTTCAGTTCAAAACCCTCATTAGATGAGGCACTCCTCAAATCACCCTCTGTGGTTGCCTTTATGGCCTCTTCATCCCCACCGTGTTGTTCGTTCATCATATAATCAGTGGAATCGTCTTTAGATCGGTAGTAATCATCAGTGCTTTCGTTCAAAGGCCGCTGCTCGTGCAGTTCAAAGCCCTCATTCGAAGAGGCACTTCTCAAATCACCATCTGTACTCACTTTTTCATTTCTTCCTTTGCCGTCGAGTTGTAATCTATCAACGACAGCGTCATTTTCAGAATGGTACTCGTCGCTCACGTGAACAGCCGAGATAGGCTTCGTTATAGCAGGTTTGCAGTCGAATAAAGAGAGATATACTGGTAGTATGCACAGTCCGTGTAGAAGGCCGAACACGACGATACCAAGGAACATTTAAAAAAATATCCGGAAAATCTCGGAAGCGGCAAAGGCCAGAACTACCATGCCAAGAAAAGTACTAAAACCTGAAAGGAATTAGAATGAATGATTAAAAAAATGATGAATGAATAATACCATGAATAAAATGATGAATGAAAAGAATGAATGAATGGACGAACGAACGAAAGAATGAATTAATGGATGGATGGATGGATGCCCGAATGAATGAATGAAATGATGAATGAAGGACATGGAGTGAACGAAATGATAATGGGTAAGATCAGCCAAGAGCCTAGCAAGAGTTTGTGAGCACGGTTAATTTCGCTCATGCAAAAAGAAATCTAAAAGTATACTTCAGTCTAAAACACAGTCTAAGCATTGGACGGAAGTTTCGGGTGATGGGCCCTTGATAAAAATAATAAAGCGAAAAGAATTCAGCTAGTATCATTTTGGCACTGGTGATATTGTTTCCCTATTAAAATTATTTCAATTGTTAAAACTGCTCATAGAAATTCTGCTGTCAAAGCTGACTATTTTCACAATGTAGTGCACGATTTTGGCAAAAAGGTATCACGCTGAAATCCATCCAGGGATCCGGAGAGGAAGTTTGACAACAGGGACTACCGACTAAATGCCAAGTGCGCGAGTCGTAAACGTTCCGTCCAAGTTGCATTTTGCTTGGCTAAGACAGAAATTAAAAAAAGGAAAAATGTTTTAGGTATTCCTGCATGAATGCAAAACACACAACCTCACACTGAGGAAAACAAGAAAATTTTTTTGTTCTTTTCGAAGGAAGAGCCGGTTCCCCTTTAAGCATTCAAGCCCTTTCCCCTTTCGGCACGCGCGTACTGGCGACTTTCTCGCTTATTCAACAAGCGAGCCTGTACAAACTAAGCTTGAAATCTGGGCCAAGAGAAAAAAAACGTTAGGAAAGGGGGCGCTATTTAGCGTTTAGCATAGGAATGCCTGCTCCGCAATCTACTCTTATTCTCGTGTTTTCATCAAGAAGGATTCGTAACTTCGATGACAACCCACAGTTTCAGAGAACCCATTTCATTCTTTTACCATAATGCAGATGAGAAAAGTCTAGTAGATTAAGACTTTTTTATTCATGAACAACGCCTATCCTCTGCGGAAAAAGGAGGAAAAAATGACGACAAAACGGTTGTTCTCTATTAACTTATGTTGAATAAACTCACCTCCCATCAAAACGCTGGCGCCGAGCGTGCTTAGAACTTCGACAACACGTTCATTAGCTTTGTCCTTGTCTGACATCACGTACGCATGTGCAATATGAGCGCTGTAGTCAACCGCGAATCCTATAGCCATGACAAGATTGATCATGGATACAGAGTTCAGAGATACGCCCCAGATCACCATCAATCCAAACAGCTCACATATCAGGGCAGCAAAGTTTAGCACCACCAGGAGCGTAACAGTACAGTCCACTAGAAAGGGGCTTGTAACAATCAGTACAGGTAAGGCCGCGATTAAAAGGTTCCTTACGGTTTCCCTTGACGTGATTGCGTACTGCTCAAAGAAAATGAAGGGTCGAGCGATGGGGAATGCTGCAAGGTTTTTCAATGTACCTGTTTGGAGATCTTCTCGAAGCGTTAGCATGGCATTTTTCTGAAAAGAAGAGCTGGTCGAAGTTTTCATGAAACCCATAATTCGAGAGACTTGGACACTTTTATTGTCTAAGGAAAACTTCACGTCTTGTTTAAAATTTGCAAACGACAACAACTCCGGCGTAAAGTTCGACCCGAGGATATTTTTATTCGTGTGCAGGGCATACTGGGAAAACACTACAATCCAGGACAAAGTTCTGTTTTCATAATACTTGTTAGAGGTCACAATTTTGGACAGACTTCTCAATTCTTCCTGGACAGATCTTTTTCCATAATCGATATTTCCAGTCTCGACAACACTCACAGGAATGGACAGCTCAAAGTACTCTTCCTGAGTAGATAAAAATTTCTTGAGGTAAGAATCATCCTTGGTCAAAATTCTTCTGTCAAAACTTTCATCCACCTTTGTAACACCATATATCCCGGCCGCTAGAAAGCACCAGGAGAAGATTATCACAAAGACTTTGACCACGGATAAGGTAAGAAATCGGGCCAAGGCTTCCATAAGCTTGTTAGAGGTTTGAAGACGAGGCTCGTCCCAGGCCGGGGCGTTTTCCCTTGGCGGTGGCGCGCGGCAGAACGGTAAACAGTCCCGTCGACCTGCTTTAATCCTTTTTACGTCGTATGACATGATGGCCACAAAATATGTGACAATCATTAAGTATGAAAAGGTCACAGTTAAGGCAGCATACACGCAAAAATACCTAAAAAATAAGCAAACAAGAGGTGTTAATGAGCCATTTACCTTGTCCTTCTTATGGTAAATGCCTATATAGGGTAAACACAATATATGATGCACCATGTTTTACCAAAAACACTTGTTTTTACATCTACATTTGTAGAATTTCTTTGTTTTGAATTCAGAGGAATTTGATCCCCAAGTTTCATGTATAAGGACTAAGAGTGCAGTGCCGACCAACATTGTTTGTTGCTTTTCTACTTAGCCACTTCAAATTTCTCGGAGTAGTGCATGGCAATCACAGCGAGATCAGAGAATCGCTCTTCAGACAATGTTGATCTAGAGCAAGGCTTTACAACTGGCGGCTTGCAGGGAGAAAACTCTGCCCATGCAGAATCTCAAACAATTCTCACAATCCATAAACACTACCCAGAACCCCAAAAACACGCTCCAGTGAATCCAAATCATGTCTCAGAATCCAAATTCTGGGGTGTTTTTTTGGATTCTGTGAAAGGTTTTCGGATTCTAGGAAGTGTTTGAGATTCTGGAAAGTGTTTTGTCCCTACGAGCCACCGCGGGTCTTGACTTGTTTCATCAGTATTAAACGACCATTCAACTTTTGGGTGGTGGGCATTCTGGCCGTCATCCTCGATTTTACCAAGAATTAGAAATCAGGTTAAAACCATGAGAAATAGTAATTTTTCGTGCTTAACACATAAATAATCACTTTGCGTCATTTTAGCCACAAAATTTACTTTTATTGTGAAAAGAAGTAAAAAAAAAACATGTATTTTCACTCAAAAATGGCTTGAACACCCGCTACTAATGACGTCATATCTCGTACCTATAGAAACTGGCCATCACTAAACCGGTCTGAAAATGCGCGCGAGGGATAAACGAACAGCTGCTGAAAACGTCAGGTACTGATGTTTTATCGTCTAGGAAAAAGTCAGAAAAACCTCAGAGGATTAACACTGGTTTAATATAATTCGGGAATTTGTAGCGTATAAATTGCTGTTCTTTTACTAGAAGTGTACAAAGTAGAATGCAGTAACTTTTTTTCCTCCCAAATCGCTTCCGCCCCCTAAGCAGTTTTGACACTCATGCAAGATGGCAGCCCGTAACACAAAGCGCTCGATCTCGATGATCTTACGGGAAAATAGAGGACTGTGAACAGTCTAGTTTCTTAGATAATAGGAGTATATAGAGTTTGTACTATTAAAAATTTGGGCCAAATGATCTGGTGCAATGTGATTTTTCAATGTATACATTATTGTGGCTAATTGCCTTGTCCTTCGTATCTTAAGATTATCCCACCCAAGTTCATCCAGTTTCTCAACTGATCGTCTATCGTAACTAGAGGAGGTCACCACCCTGGCAGCTCTGTTTTGGAGGGTCTAGAGTCTGTTACACATCCCCTTCCCCACAGCTCCCCCACACTCTACTACAATAATCAAAATACGGTAGTACAATGGAGTTCAACTCGTAAAGACATCTTAGCCCCAAGCAAATCTACAGGATTCATGGAAATGAAAAGAAGCGAAAATACAACTCTCGCGTCACAGAAATAGAGCAAGGCACATTCACACCACAGGTATTTACAACGACGGGAGGAATGGCTGACGAATGCCTGAGATACCACTCAAGATCAGCCGAGCTATTATCTGCAAAAAAGCACGAGAGCTACGCCACAACAATTTCATGGGTCAGGGCGAAAGTGTCCTTTGCAATTTTGCGGAGCGCGCTCCTATGCCTAATTATAAGGGGGATCGAGAACCCCCGAGAAGGAGGAACTTAGATGTTAAGGACAGGGATCGAGAAATAGAGAAGGGTCAAGCAGGACTTCCCTAGACTCAACAGCTATAGATGCTTTACTAATTGTCTTTATTTTATTTTCTTTAAACATTTGAAAGAAACGTTTGAATTTTAGAGGCTGACAGTTTTTTTATTGAAATGAAATGTTTTTAATTCGAATTTTAAATCGACAGGAATTGTAAATAGTGTTTTGAACGAATAGTTTTTTTTCTTTTTTCAAGCGAATTAATTGTAAATAGGATTTTAATAGTTAGCATGTTGTCAATAAAACTTTTTTTCACAAAAAAAAAAAAGAGTTCAACTCCATTGTACTTCCGTATTTTGATTATTGTAGTAGTTTAATGTATAATAAGGCATGAGATGCGTTACACGTCTCAGAATTCCAATCCTTCCAGAAGCCTTCCTTAGCAATTCTGTCTACATGATCTCTCCAAGTTAATTATTGATCTATTTCAACACCAAGACATTTATACGTCTCATCCCTAATAAGCGATTTGTGATCGACATGAATATTAAAGTTGTGCTCAAGGTATTTTATTATCCGATATTGACAAGCTATAATCATACATTTTGTCTTTATCAGGTTAAGGCTAAGTTTATTTGTTATTATTATATAGACACGAGTGTTTTACTGGAAAATATACCACTCGTAAATTTCATAAAAACATCATCCGGGACCCGAAGGGTTTATTTTCCATAATCTCATGCGTGAGTTTATCGATGACGTAATTTTGGTAATTTTCCTCTATTATTTTATCGATGTCATTTTGTCTATATAATAACAAAAACAATATTTTACTCACTCGCTGCGCTCGTTCGTAAACTATTGTTTTGCCACTCGAAAATAAAATTCATATCTTCGCGCCACCGTGTAATATCCTCTATTTAAAAATTTATATATTTCATGTAGACCATGATTCATTCGATGCTCTAGGATGTACTCATAAGAATGTGCAACGTCTTCATACATCGGGCACTTTAGAGTAGAGGTTACAAGATGGAAGATCATTTATATAAAAAATAAATATTAAGATAGCGGACCATCTCACACAGAGTTTGCATGTTTTGGTGTCAACGAAACTACTCGGGTGAGATCGGCAAAATAATAAATACTAAAACGCTGGTTAACAAACCCAAACCGGAACTTAAACTGACTAATGAACCAAGGCCCAGCTCTAACACTCACGACCACTTGTGAAAAACTCTCATCTGACAAGGACAAGCGAAGAATATTCGAAAAATGGAATTATAATTAAAATAATGTACATTCGTGATCTAGCATAAATTCAAGCACTAGTAAAAACATAAGTTCACAACAGGAAACTGTCCTACACCCACCGTAATGAAACCAACCCCACGATTAACTGAAGATGAGACAGATCTTAAAAATAACCTTCACAACAAAGTTGTTTATGGTATGCACCTGTTCCAGGCAGCTTAATCAATAATTAAATGCCTTATATCCCTTTAAGTCGATGGTTAGCTTTTGCATTGAGAACGGCAACGAGTTCAAAATAATCGTAAAGGCTTAGCAAAACGTAGCACAAAAGATAGAACTCAAATATTTTCAGTGGTCTCTTTCTAAAAATATATGAAATATGAAAATACAATATATTTTAAATTGACTGGGCAGGCAATTTTTAATGATTTCTACAACACATTAAACAATTTTGCGCCGACTTTTTGTCATCACACATTCGTCGCACGGTAAGTTAATTGTTACAAAAGCTGAGAAACCTTAGAACAAAATGCAAAGAAATAACCGATTTTAATAATATTCTTACGCAAAAAGGAAAAGTTTGCTTTTCTTTTAATGACAGGTGCTGAATATTTCAGAGGATTTCCCATCCGTTAAGTTTATGCTTCCTTACACCGTTTTTAATTAGTTTGCTTTATTGGTAGAAAGGCCTGTCGCTCTTCGTTTAACATTCTGTGACTATCTACACTGTAAAATGAAAAGAGCCAATTTGGCCCCAAAAATGAGGCAGAAACGGGTGAGTCCAGAATGGTACTGTTTTTGGGGCCAATTCAGCCCCACTGAGATGGGGCTGTTTTGGTACCAAAATTTGGGGCTAAATTGACCCTTGCATCGGGGCCAAATTAGACCATGTAAAGGGTCAATATGGAAAACTCTAGGGCCATTTTGGATTTTCCAGTAGCCAAAACAGCCCCCTCAAATTTTGGCCCTCTTAAAAACTACCCCTCCAAAAGTAGCCGATTCAGCCCCATATCGGGCCATTATGGTTTTTTTAATTTGGGTGGGGGCCTACAGATTTTTTCCCTTAATTAGGGTACTGATAAATAATGAAACCAAACTAAGGCTTATTTCAAACATTTATTCAGTTCTGAATAAGTTACTGTGATCTGTGTACATCATAACAACGCGTATTCCAACCTATTTATGTAATATTATCTTCGGTTAATCTCAACTTTTCTAGATTGAACACTTAGAATTATTGGAGGAATTAAATTGGCCAAGAGAGACACTTCGTTGCGATCAAAGTAACTACTTCTTTAATGGTTTTCACAAAAGACAAAGTCAAAATCATAATCAGCATCATAGGAACACTTAAAACCTATAGTGAAAATCAAAAATTGGAGTTGTAAAGGGTTTTATTAATTAAAGGGAACCTCCACTCTTACTACAGAATAAGTTTAAATCGAATAAAATTATGTTGATAAACAAATTTGTTCGAAATTTGTCTTTAAAAAAGTGTTTATATCAGGAAAAGTGAATTTTAAAATCGCTTATTTTCACTTTCAAATTCGCGGGCGCCGCCATCTTGAATAATTGTGACGTGTTACGTTTGCTCTATTGTTCTGACACAAAGAGCTTTTGTTTAATAACAATAGGGCAACCACTACACGTCACAATTATTCAAGATGGCGACGCCCGCAAAATTTGAAAACAAAAATAGGCGAATCTAAAAGTTATTTCTTTCGGGTACAAATGCTTTCTTTAAAAATATTTTAGATTGACTTGACTGTAACAGTTATTTCCTGTGATTTAAAGTTATCTTTTTGTTGAAGTGGAGGTTCCCTTTAAAGCTCACCAGAATTGGAGTCAATTAAGGTTTCTTTTATAACTCCCCTTTTGACAAAAAAAAAATATAAAAGATTGTCAGAGTTGGTCAAGTTCTCCTGCTAACAATTCCAACAATGTACATTACATTGAAGCAAAAGAGTTGTAAGAGCAATAATGAACTAAGATGCTTTAGCTATATCAATTCTCAAGCTTCTGATTATGACTCCTCCAACTCTGTCTACCTTGCTAGTGCGAGCCTTTAATGACTTGACCTAATCCTTTTGAAGGGTGGTTTTCACTCGTGACAAAGTCAGGGTCATAGTCAGAGCACTCATCACCTAGTGAAAATCAAAAATCAGAGTTGCAAGGGAAGTCATAACTAAAAGCTTGATGGAATTGGAGTCATCACAACTTTCTACTCTTCAGATTCTGCTTATGATGTAGAAAACCAGATTAAGCAGGGGTGTAATCGTCGAAAGATAAACCACTTACCAGTCAAAATTCTTGTTCCCATGCTTTATAGTTTTCACTAGATCAAAAGTGAAGGAGTCATAATTGGAGTAATTATACCCTGTTAGTGTTATATCTAGATCAACACTCTATGCTTTTGATTTGTACAGTTCCGACTCTGTGTCTTACTAGTAAACCAGCCCAGCCCTTAATGACTTGGCAAATGTCTTAAACTATATTTTACTCCACAGATATTATGTTTAAAAAATCTTGCCAAATCTTGGTCTGTAAGAGTGAAAGAAAACTTCCATGAAAAACATTTTGACAATTTGGCTACACCTTGCGAGGTTGTCCTGAGTTAACATTCAGCAAGAACTGAGGTATTTGCTAAGTCATTAAAAAAGGGAGGAAACATTGACAAGTGTCTACCCCAGTCCATTTTCAAGCAATGCCTGATCTAGAAAAGTCAAGATGGCTTTGCATTGGGTGTATGATACATTAAATACATAAAAACACCCAAGCAACATTATCACTGCATCAATCTTCTTCTGAGGAAACTGGCAAATAATGC